CATCTTGAATATGTCTGTTTTTGGACATTGTTAAGACGTACTCTCGGATTTAGTTTTAAAAGCTTTTGTAAATTCCTTTTATACAAAATTAAACACATATTTTCTATAAACATTATTATTAACAAAGCATAATAAAAACATTCGCTTCGATCGTTGAACCAAGTTCCGGCCAAGTTAAAAGAGCGCGTAATTCAATTTTTCTTTATATGTTTTAATTGTTGAATAAATAAAAAAAATAAGAAAATTATGTAAATTAATTAAAAAATTAAAAAAAAATTATATTTTGTGAAATTATAAATGACAAGTACGCCAGTACTTTTTTTAATGTTACCATTATTTTTTATATTTTTGAAATAGACATTTAAAAGACGTCTTTAAGACGTCTATTTATGTGTCCTAAAAGACGTCTTTAAAACGTCTTTTTTAGGTCTTTAGGCGTTCAGTCATAACTACGACATAAAACAGACGTCTTTAAGATGTCGTGTGCTGTCTGGGATATTTTTGCAAACACACAATATGTCTACAGTTGTGCCACAGAGAAATTGTTTCATTGATTTAATTTTTACCCGTTCATAAATTGTTTTAAAATTAGTAAAAATAGGCATTACATTTCTTTAGTGACTTTTAAATGAGTTAATACCGTTACATTAGATTTTAAAATATACAGGATAATCTAACTGTTTTATAATTACTTACAAAATATACACCGTGTCCCACGTAAGGCGGGCATTAAAACTTTATGGAGAATAAATTAATTTGTATTTTCGCCATTTTCTGAGTATACATAATCGAATATGCTCTTTTGAATTAAAATAAAATGAACTCTGTGCAACTTCCGGTTATAACGGAAGTGACCACTAACTTCGTTATTTTAAAGGGAATACCCCATATTTTTTTTAATTTTAGATTCAGCATGAAATTCTGTAAACATCGATACCCCATTTGCCTATTCTAGTTATAGCGGATGTGGCGTTATTCAATTTTTTTCTACATTTTTAGTCGCCGGTAGACATTTTCTTAAAGTCGTCTATCTCAGGTACTATATCTATCAGATACTTAAAATTTTAACCAGAGGTAGTAGATGGGATGTACTTCTTAAGAATATTTAGTTATTCATTATTTGTTGTACGGGGTGTTTGCAAATTATTTTTAAAAATGAAATTTTTTAAAAATAAAAAACTTTTTTATTTTAAAGGGAACACCCTATATATTTTTTAAATTTAGGATTCAGCATGAAATTCTGTGAACAATGATACCATATTTGCCTATTCTAATTATAGCGGATTTGGCGTTATTCATTTTTTTTTAATTTTTAGTCGTCGCGCCGGTAGGCATTTTCTTAAAGTCGACTGTCTCAGGTACTATTTCTGTTGGATACTTGAAATTTTAGCCAGAAGTAGTAGATGGGATGTACTTTTAAAAACATTTACAGTTTTCTGCAACAAAATATGTCGTTTAAAAAGTTTAAATTTTTTTAATGATAAGGTACATACTAACTAAAAACAATTTTTATTAAAAGCACATGGTTTAAAAAAATCATTTTATCAAATGTTCAAAATGCCCCCCGTTAGCTTCTAAACATTTTAACAATCTTTTTTCAACATGATTAGTTGTTGCTTTACGAATCATTTCACCATCTAACTCGTTAAAGGCATTCCGAACTCTTTGCTCTAATTCTTCTTTAGTATTAATTTGGGTAGAGTACACTAAATTTTTAATATAAACCCATAAAAAAATCAACAGGAGTTAGATCTGGCGATCTTGCAGGCCAAAGCCAAGGACCATTTGGACCTATCCATCGGTCATCAAAGAGTGCTGTAATTTCTTGATTTACATAGTATGTTGAATGTGCTGGGGCACCATCCAACTGGTACCAAAAATTATTATTTGGTAGCTGGTTTAAAATGTCGGCAACTATTTCTCTAAGAATTCTAATGTATCTTTCTGAGGTCAGTCTTTCATTATAAATGTAATAAAAAGCTCTTCCAAAACCGATCACTGCAAACACATTAAAACTAAATTCGTACTGAAATTGTGCTTCACGATAAAAATGTGGATTTTCGTTTGCCCAGAAATGACATTGCTTGCGATTGATGATCCCTTTACGTGTAAATTTCGACTCGTCTGACCACAAAATTTTGTTTAAAATCTCGGGATCTTCTTGAATTCGTACCACTAACCATTCGCATAATTCAGTTCGTCTTATTTGATCACCATCTCGGAACTCATGAACTTTTCTTTGTGCATAGGGATGCCATTTATTTAGTGCTAATATTCGTTGTATTGACCCTCGACTAATATTTAAATTATCTTGAGCCATTCTAATGGAGGCGTGAGGATACGCAGTAAAATACCCTAATACGTTAATTAGATTAACTTCTTCATCTCGGACATAATGTTGACGGTTTCTTCCCGGGTTTTGTTTAAAATTATTCAAAAAGTTAGCTTCGATTCTATCAAATTTCTGTCTGTTCATTGGTGGTAAATGAGGGTATCGTTCATTAAACATGCGGCAGGTTCTACTTTTGATTCGATTACATTCTCCATGAATGTAAAATAAATTAAGAATATCTTGGTTGGTATATTCTTCAATATTTTCCATATTTTCCATATTTTGAACGCAAAAAATACACCAGTTAAATACATAGAAATATGACAATTTAGTTTGTTGACAGATTGTTGTTTAGCATATTTCCACGGCATACTAAGATAAAAAATTAAAATGTTAAACTATACTATATTATGTAGGTGCATGCATAAAATTTAAATTTAAATTTTCTTAAAATTGGCGAGAGATAATTATAGAGAATTAATAGTGCAAATGAAGATCAATGAAGAATAATTTTCTGAACAAAATGAAATAAAAATATACAGGATTTTCCATTTAAAATAAAAAAAATTTTTCATGTTTAAAATATTTATTTTTTAAAATAATTTCCAAACACACAGTCGAACAAACGATGTACAAGTAAATTTAAAAAAGCAAATGTCTGCCGGCATGTAAATGTTTATAAAAAACTGAATAACGCCAAATACACTATAATTAGAATAGGCGAAAAAAATATGGGGTATTCCCTTTAAAATAACGAAGTTAGTGGTCACTTCCGGTATAACCGGAAGTTGCACAGAGTTCATTTTATTTTAATTCAAAAGAGCATATTCGATTACGTATACTCAGAAAATGGCGAAAATACAAATTAATTTATTCTCCATAAAGTTGCAATGCCCGCCTTACGTGGGACACGGTGTATTAGTATGTACATCATTTTCCGATATGTGTGACAAAATTTAATACACGGGACAATAAAGTTGTACAAATATAGTGAGATTTTTTTATGGACATCTGACCAAAACTTATATTAAACTTATATATGCTACATAAAGTCAATTTAGCTTTTCAGTTTAAAGAAAAAATAACTAAAATCAGCAATTTTCCACTTTAACGCCAGGTATTTCGAATTTAAAATTCACATCTCATAAAAAGGTGGTAAAAGCATTATATACTGGTTATATTTTACAGGGGAAATTTTAGAATAGACTGTGTTTCTCTCGGTTTATTTCAAGATAATTAAAATTCTCCTGGTACCCTATTCTCAAACTCAGGAGAGTGCTCCTACACCAGTATTGCCAGATGGCAAAAATTAAATTGTTGTACCATGGTGTAGAAATTATCGGTTTTTTATGATTTTATCGTACAAACTGATCTTACTAGTGTGACGTTATCGAATGCTGGTTAATTTAAGTGTTTATGGAGTTAGGGTTGGGGTAATTTGATAATAATTTTATTGAATAAACATTGTTGCATTGAAATATTATTTTTAATAAAGAAATACAAATTCAATACAATATGTGAATACGGCCCCAACTAGGACTCGCTTAACTTGTAGACTGTCGCCATAGGAGTACATAAATATTAAGGTGAATACAGAACTCCTTATAATTTTCGGACAAGGTTATTTCAAAAAGTAATTATGTTAAAAAATTAAAATTTTAGCAAAATAAATTAAGAAATACTATCTAGAATATGCATTTATTTTAAAGTTTTAATTCCCTCCAGTTTCCTAGAAAAAAATCAAAGAGTTTTAAATTTTGAAATATCATAATGAAAATAAATGCATTCCTCAATAGCACTATTTTTAATATAATCCCGAAATTTGAGCTCTTAATGTCTTTTTAATGATTTTTTCAAAATTTGCAAAATTTAGTGGCTAAAACGCCTAGTTAAGTGCTGCCTTCTGTTGTAACGCTACTGTACCTATCGTATCGTACACTCTCAGTCATCATTCTTTTCCTGCAATGATTTACACCAGTTTACACCAGAAGATAGCACTTAACGAGGCGTTTTAGACACTAATTTTGACGAATTTTAAAAAATCATTAGCAAGACATTAAGAACTTAAATTTATGGATTATATTAAAAATGGTGCTATTGAGGAATGCATTTATTTTCAATATAATATTTCAAAATTTAAAGCCCTTTAATTTTGTTTCTCGGAAACTGGAACGAAGTAAAACTTTAAAATATTTGCATATTATAGATATTATTACCTAATTTACTTTGTTAAAATTTAAATTTTTTCAAAAAATACTTTTTGAGATATCGTTGTTGAGCCATATTTATGACATGTTTCCAAACTGTATAAAATAAAAAAAAATTATCATCACTTTTCTTTATCTTTGTATCATATAAGTCTACAATTTAAACAATTTTGAAATTATTGCTAACAAACCTACATTATGATAATTTTATTTGGGAACTGCATAATTTTTTAATTTCACAAAAAGATTAATAGCTTCATAATTCTTTAATATTTATTCCAAAATATTCTAGAGTTGATACAGTATTACGAGACTATTCTAAAACTGATAAAAAATATAGAATTTAATTTTCCAGGCCAAAACATTTTTAAAAGATGCCTTTTTTAAATCCATTCATATAACTTTTATTTGAAACATGTTACATGGAGAAATTACACACTAATGGGACAGAAGCTACTTACCAGTAAACCATGTTCAACTAACTGTTTCGCAATAGCAGCCCCAATTCCAGCGCTAGCACCTGTCACTACAGCTACTTTGCCAACCCATCTTTCCATTGACAATACCATTTTTTTATTTCCTTTCTTATCACTGTTATATTTTAAGATAAAACGGACTTTGAACTAAAATCAGTAGACTGTTTTCAAGTTGAAGGTCTGAGCTAATATAATAATAGTCTGGCAATCACGGTTAACAACTAGTTCATTAAGCAAGTTAAACAAACAGATGCAGCGAGCCGCGCTCGCGCTTGTGCATGTTGGAGTGGGATATTTAAAAAATATACAGGGTGTTTATTTGAAAACTTCCCACTCCTAATATCTCTAGTAAGTAATATGATAAATTGGAAAGACATGTCAATTTTATTGTCAAGTGGGATTTAATTTACAATACAACAAAATAAACTTTAATTAAACTCAAATAATTAAAAAATCGTGAAAAAATGCACCTACCGGAGGAGCTAGAGATTCTTCGTGAGATGAACCTGAATTCTGGTAATTGCGTAAATATTCAAATTCACTTAAACTGTAATTGTAGCCCTTTATATAAAACACTTTGGGAATCCCAACAACTAAATTAAAATATACTTAATTCAATGCAATTAATTTTTTTTCAATTCTTTCCAATCATATTTAGTTCAGTAATAATCACACTCTATATTTATTTAATTACCACATTACCACTTTTTGTTAACTTAATTTTCTATACTGTGAATTTGTAAATTGATTTTTTATACTTTTTTAACTTTTTTTCTGGGTTTTAATTTTCAACTTGTTATTTAACCTTTTATTTGTATGCTACATGTATGTTTGTCACTTAATAATGGTTCTGAAGCCCACCAGACCATACTTATCATCATATTCACTGCAGTTGCCCGGTGGTACAATAGACAACTCAGCACATAGCTGTGCTGTAAAAGGCGAAATATACGTATTAAATTTGTTGCTGCCTAGTATGGATCTAGGTAGTAATTTGTCTTCACTATACCTTTTCACTTATCTAAAAACTCTTTCAATTCCTTCTTCCATTACAATTGAGTCCCTTCAATTAGGTGCCATGCACGGGTCATGGTCTAGTTACGTCTAGCTAACTTCAAGTTATCTGGCCTAGTATGGATCTACAGTTCGTTGTCTATTTTTCAAATTCGGTTGCCCAATAGTTTCCTAAAGCCACATGTACTTAGGTTTATTTAAATCTTTGTAAGATGCATATGCTTAGAAACCTAGTATGTCCCACCTCCTCATTTTACAGTATTTATATTTTTGTTTTTTGATGGTTCGTATTGTCTAACCCGGTTGACGCCAGAACCACTCTCAAACGGTCCGATCTACTTGTCTTTGTCTTGTGACAGTATGTTTATGTCTTATGTCTATTGTCAAATATCAAAATAGATACTCTTGTCACCTGTCATTCGTCATTTTGGTACAAACGATTTTATGATTAATCAACAAAATGTAATAATCAACTTAATTAAGGGATTTAAAGAGGGTTTGTGCATTTACAAAATTACCTTTTAATGTACTCGTTTTAAATACATGATGTATTTAGTCAATGATCCTACGTAGTGGGTATCTTAGACGTTAGTTATAGTTGAAAAAACTTTTAATTATGAAATTGTAAGGTGATAAATGGAACTGTATTACATTATTATTATTTTTTCTGATCCTATACATACATAGTTTTTTTGAAAAAGAAAAAATAAGAGACAAAAAATGGTACAAATAAATACGGCTTTATAAATACTGTACCCATATAAAATTTTAAGATTATCCAAAATATGATTTAAAAAATATGTTATTTAATAATAGCAAATAATGTCTATGAAAATCAACTTTAAAAAAATATATTGTTGGTACACAAAAATAGTGACACAATTCAAAAACATAGATTTTCGGTGACGTCCATTTTAATGTTTCTTGTTTCTTGTATTTTAAAAATGTTTAAATCATTTTTGGGAATAAACATAAGTAAGTGTTTACACTGTTCACCTTGTATTAAAACAAAAGAATAACAAGTTTGCTTTGATAACATTAAAAAAAAAAAATATTATAGTTTCATCCTTATTTTGAATTATAACGAAAAGCATATTTCACACCACATAAATAATGACCTTCTCGACAAAATGTTCTAATTTGTCATTGCTAAAAGTAATATTCTTACTTAGTTGATTTCTAATTAACTAGCGTATTCTGATTTACGTTATTATAGCCGAAAATTCATGGACTTGTCTAATTGACTGTCGGAGTACAACTAGATTTGTGTCACTCTTCATCATCCTAAACTCGCTGGAAAGAACGACGCAACCTTCTTCCAGTTGTCATTTTTGGAAATAGCAATATGTCGTTCTTTCAAATAAAAATGCGGATTTTGCTATATATTTTCACAATAAGCTCAAAAATGGAAATTTTTGAGCTGTCACTATTCTTGTGCACCAACGATATTGATAGGTGGGCCCTTCACCCTGCCCACACTAGCGTCACGTGACCTGGGCATTATCTATTAAATAATTTATTTGACCATGTTCTTTAAGTGTACATTTAAACGTAAGTATTACTGCTCTGGTAGATACAAGCACCCCTTTTTACGAGCTAACTCTTTATTTATTGACTTAAAATACTTGTTTAAAATTGTAAATGATAAACAAAATTTTTATTATTATTCTGAATTTCGCATATAGGTACATATTTTAACATATAGTTAAAAAATTATAAATGGTTCATTCTTAAAATTCGTAGGAAACTTTCTACATCAAGAGACATTAACAACTTCGATTTGGCAAAGAAGCATTTATTTGTACGAGTTACTGAAAAATACTATTCACAATATGGAAATGTCTGCAGTAATTTCTACTTGTTTTCGATTAAATTGAAAAATATTTAACCATCTGTGTTATAAGAAAGGAACGTTTTGCATATTGGGGATGTACGACGAAATTTCAAAAAGATTACAGACTCATTCAAGCAGTAATAATAGATAATAATAGAATATCTTTGAAATGTAAAAACAACGCAATAGGTATTTATAATAATAATAATTGACAACATGGACATAAATTATTTATTTAAATTTATACAGAACTTTCCATGAGATAACATCGTTAATATGTACTTTGATTTAAGTAATTATAAGATACCAATGCAATTTATGACATTTTTAAAATTGATATATTATAGTTTATAGTTTTTGTTTAGTAACCGTGAATAAAACCATTCATTGTATCGACTAAACTCGTTCCGCGAATTTGAAATTTATGTACACTCTTCATGAAATGCCAGGCCAAATGGTATGAGAAAATGATGGTGTAAACTAATACGTTTTTTCTAGCTATATATCAGCCAATCAGCATTTTGTTTTTATTTTATATGAGTACCTGAGTATTCTCAAAAAGCTTGAAACTAAGACTTCGTCCAATAATGGTATATTTTCCTTTTTATTCTGATCAAACTTTGGAACCATGCACTGTACTTTTACATAATTTCACATCACTAATTCAAATGGTTTGATCCTTTTGAGCCTTCTAACTAGGAATTGGTACTCAGGAACTAAAGAATTTCAATAATGAAATTGTTATGCAGCCTTTTTTTGTGCTTTTTGTAATGTTTTTTCTCACTTCTTCTATTGTAGGCATTCTTAGATTTCCATCAAAGTTTTTGATATTTCCCTTAATATTTTGTTTTGGAAACGTTTTGTTATATTTATGTGATTTTTACTGGCAAATCCCCAGAGCTGTATGCAGTACAGTCATACTGGCTTCAGTAATTGTTCGTATGGTAAAAGTTTATTTTTGATGAACATTTTTGATTGTATATTTATCAACCAACATAATTTTCTATATTTCTTCTTCTCGTTTTTTCTTTAATTTTATATCCAGGTTCATGTCTAAGTATTTCGCCGAATTAGAATATGGTATTCTAGTGTTGCTTACTATTACTGGTAGGTATTGTGCTGTTCTTTTTTAGTGAAATTAACCAGAAATGTTTTAGTTTCGTTGAATTTAATGAGTCATATTTATGTCCACTCGTAGATTTTTTTGGTTGATTCTTCTATGGTTTTACCGGTGGCAAGATTTGCTGTGTTATCGGCAAATGTAGCTCACATTTTGCGTGGTATATCAGAGGTAAACAACAAGTGAAAAACTGGCCTCAGAACACTTCCTTAAGGCATCCCTGCTTTAATTTCTGCAAGCGTGGAATATTTTTCTTGTTTTACTGTGAAGATTCTATCAGTCAAGATGTCATAATATTGGTTTGGTAAAAGTTATAATTTTAGTTAGTGCGCAGCTGAGCTTCGAGTTGTTACTTTTGTCCGTTAGGGGAAATCTTATTAGGCATTCCAAACAAATTAATTGCCTGTGGTATATCCAAGAGTTGGGACAGATGGTTCGAAAATGAAAAACAGCACAGGAGCTGGGATCTACCTTGTAAACTTAGGGAGGACAAGTAGTCTGAACCCCAGGTCACTGCCAGGCTGAAGTAACAGCAATAAATGCCTGCGCCAAAGTCATGGTAAATGACTCTCTTAGAGGTAAGAGGATCTTTATCATGACAGACAGTCAGACAGCCCTTAAAGAACTGAAAAGGGTAGAAGTATGATCGATACAATCAGAATATTAGAATCACAAAACAAAAGTTACGAAGTTAATTTAATGCAGAAATCTGGGATGGAATTTTGGAGTCTTGAAAATAGCGTCGAAAATAATCAAGAAAATAGTCAGGAAAATATTGAAAATAATCGGCCAAACATTCAAAATGGTAACGAAAAAAATTACGAAATCGAAAATAATCCAGCTCGAACTGCCCGATTACTGAAAAATACTGAGAAAAAAGAAGCTGAAAAACATGTGTTAATATTAGGGGATGAATTAGCTAGAAATGTATCTAATTATTTAAATTCATATCTTGATGCATCGGAATATTCAGTGGTAGGTGTTAGTAAACCTAATATAAATTTTGAAACTTTGATAGATTCAGTTTTTGAATATTCTCAGAAGTGTGGTAAAAATGACTTTCTTTTTATACTAGTTAATACACTGAATATTTCTAATTATACTTCATTATGTAAGGCTCTAGCTCAGTTATTACCACTAGGTAGATTAACAAATCTATTTATTTTTTCTAAGAATGTTCACAAATATGATAAGAAAATTTAAAGTTTTATTGGGAATAAAATTAATCAATTTTGCTTAATAAATAGAAATACGTCC